CAATTCTTTGTGTTTGAAATCTTACCGTCTGGGTACAGTCCATATTTTTTTTCAACTCTAGACTACCCATCTGTCTTTTTTTTACTCACAGGTTTGCCGGAATGATTAGCCTACATGACTGGAGTGACCTCTTAGTTTGGCCTGAACAAAGCCATCATTTTAGAGGCACTCAAAGGTGTCTGGAATTGTGGTCCATTTCAGTTTACATGTGCCAGCTTTACAAAAATAAAAAAAATCGCAGACTCTACGTCAAGTTTTGTCGCAAGGAAATTATCACGGCTCTGATAGGAACGCCCTTAACAGGGAAGCTTACAGCAAAAACATCAACTAATCATTAATCAGTGAACCCAGCCTAGAGCCAGGAGAGAGGAGCAAAGAGGGGTGATCCTAGGGCCTGTTCCTGCAAAACTTTAAACCCAGCACTTGTAACTTCACCCATTGACTTCAGTAGGAGTACACCCATAAGTGAGGTTGCTTATGTGCTTAAGAGTTTGGCAGGATACTGGGCCTTTAGATTAGTTGTCTCCTTCATGACCTATGTAGGGACTTTCTGTTGTTTATCTTGGGCTCTGTGTAATCTTTATCTTTGTTTTCATTCTATAAGTGTTCAACTACCCTCATTTCAGGCTGTGTTTTTTCTGCTTCACTCCACCAGAGTACTGGAGATTTTGGACCTTGGATCTGCCTCTTTCTTACCTTTTGCTACTTCTTGCTCTTATTTTTAAGTCTGCATAGGTCTGTACATTGTCCATTTTTTCCTGAATGGCTCAAACCCTTTGGTAAAGATTCTTATCTCGGGGAACACTTTCAATGTCCTCCCTATCACGTTGATGAAAATCATGGATTTGAATTTAGTGCTCAGGAAAGAGTTCCCTTAAGACTGAGCCAGACATAGCGTATGAAGCTGATGCTGGGCAAACTTCTCCCACAGGCTCCATTAACGCATCTCAATCCCATCCTTCAACATCTCCTTATTCTGCCACTAAATCTGTACAGGGCTTTGCCAGTGCTCCTCAGCCCTGACCTGCAGCACAGCTGTTCCATTCCTAGGCCCACACACAGCCCTCACCACTGATCTGCAGCACCAGCTTTTTTGCCTACACACAGCAGTGCCAATGTACCTTCATTCTGGCTGAAACCAGAGGCAAAGAGGATCCTGCAAAAATGAACTGATGAGAAATTGTACATGGATTTTCACAGACCAACATTTACCAATTTCTCCCAACTCTGCTGTTGCTCTGTGAGCCGTATACTACCCTATACAGACATTGTGGCCTGTTCTGTATATTTTGTGTGGATTTCACAAAATGTGTATGAAATATCTGGACAGCTCTACAAGATTTTCATGTGGGGCGTTTTATTCAGACCAGTAGAATCAGGCACGCACTTAACTAAACTTTTTATTAATGCCAAGATCTACTTGTCCTTGAAATAGATACCTCAATAAAAATGGTGAGGAGAGAACTAGAAATATGAATTAATGAGTCCT